ACGCTCTGTGATTCTGTGAAGTGCCTGAATGCCTGTTAGTCTGGAATTCTTTTAGATAGTTTTGAACAAAGATAATAACACAAGTCTGCTTTCTTTCAATCCCAGGTGGGCGAAATGGTTATGGAGCCAAATTGTGCAACATATTTAGCACAAAATTTACTGTGGAAACTGGATGTCGCGAATACAAAAAGTTATTCAAGCAGGTATGAACAATTCTCATGTCAGTCAGGTTATACCTGAGATTATCGAATATGACCCTAAGTTTTTGTTTCAAAAATCTAGGTGTAACTTGCATACAGTGCATTTGGATTAGAATTAATTTGGCCCACAGTTTATCTGTACCACAAAATCTACTTCAAATGAATCATGCAGACATAATCAGAATCAGAATCTAGTTTTTAACCAGTGGGGTTTTTGAATTTGAAAATATTTAAAACTCATAAATCAGCTTGCTGCTTTTAAAAACTAAGCCAGTTGCTTGTGTGTGTTAGACTTGCAACTCACAAAACTTCCTTTTCTCAGACCTGGACAGACAACATGGGAAAGGCTGGCGAAATGAAACTGAAATATTTTGATGGAGAAGATTACACTTGTGTCACTTTCCAGCCTGATCTGTCAAAATTCAAAATGACAATTCTCGATAAAGACATTGTGGCACTAATGTCTCGAAGAGCGTATGATATTGCTGGATCCACAAGGGACGTCAAAGTTTTCCTAAATGGACAGAGGCTGCCTGTAAGTGAGCATTGGAAAGAAAGAGTAATATCTGTATTTCTGATGCCATTTAAACAGTGAGATTTTGTTGAAGCTATTTGCATTACACATAGTAAAGGGGAAATTTGCACGAGTGATTTCTCTGCTCCCTTTTCAGGAGGATGTGAATTAAGTATTTATAGGAGCTGTTATAAACGAGTTGTCTCCTTTCATCCATCTGCAGGTGAAAGGATTCCGCAGTTATGTGGACCTCTATCTGAAGGACAAAGTAGATGAAACTGGTAATGCACTTAAGGTTATCCACGAGGAAGTAAATTCTCGATGGGAAGTGTGTTTGACTTTGAGCGAAAAAGGCTTCCAGCAAGTTAGCTTTGTAAACAGCATTGCCACTACAAAGGTAACGCGTCTTTAGTTTATTTAGTCAAGCTAATGCTATATTACAAGTTGTTACAGAGACCATACTTGAAGTTAAGTAGACACGCATCCTTTTTTGTTTCCAATGGAATCATCTCCACATCTTTGCTCCCATTTTCCCTTAGGGTGGCAGGCACGTTGATTACGTAGCTGACCAGCTGGTGACTAAACTCATTGATGTCGTGAAAAAGAAGAACAAAAACGGAGTTGGAGTGAAGCCTTTTCAGGTACAATGTCAGAATTTCTCCAGTGGGAAACACAACTCTCGCATTATTGCAGATTGTAACTACAGCTTAATGTATTACTACTTTAATTAATAATGCGTATTTCCACTGTAGAGACAATATATATGAAATTGCTAGTTGTAGAAGTCTCATATTGTTCAGTTTAAGCCAACTAACTATCTTCACTGTGTTTGGCTGATGCATTTTGTAATCAGAACACTGTAAGTCAGTGTAGATGCAGTAAAACTCAGTATCTGTTAGGTAATTCCTATTTAGGCTGAGACCTGCTGATTCCTTGACATCCCAAATCATATAACACTGTTCATGAATGTTCTGTAGCTGGACTAAATCCCTTCAAGACATCTAGGAAAATTCAAAAACATACAGTGATAGTAGTTTTGTGTGGTTCTGACAGGCCAATGTCAGAATTTGAAGTGTTACAGATAAGCCTGTACAATGTGTGATGCTTGCTGTATTTAACTACAGGTGAAGAACCACATGTGGATTTTCGTGAATGCCTTAATCGAAAACCCAACCTTTGACTCTCAGACTAAGGAGAACATGACTCTGCAGGCAAAGAGCTTTGGCTCAACCTGTAAACTGAGTGAAAAATTTATTAAGGGTGTAAGTATTGATATACACAGATAATCAAGATGTCTGTAAAACTGCATCTTATTTTTAATATGGCAAATAAGTACCTCTGAAGTAATATCATGAACTACAGAAGAAGTATATAACTTAGAATTCTGTCATTGTTAAGGCTTTTCTCACAGTTGTTTGGGGTTATTTTTTGTATTGCAGGCAGTTGGATGTGGCATTGTTGAAAGTATCCTAAATTGGGTAAAATTTAAAGCTCAGAACCAGCTGAATAAGAAATGTTCAGCTGTGAAACACACCAAGATTAAGGGTGTTCCTAAGCTGGATGATGCCAATGATGCTGGTAAGTGTTTAACATCCTTTGTAACTGATTCATTCAAAACCAATTAAAACTTGTTCATTAGACAAACTAAAAAATTGACCCTTAATAATGAGAAAACCTGTAATTATAGTTTATCCCCAATTTTACAGTCCCATTTACTATGTTTATCCCTATTCACTCTGTGCAGTACAACAAAACCTGTATGTGTTAGAAGATCTTTATTCTCATTCAATTTGTGAGTATGCAGGCTTTGACTTCACTTGATTTTTTTTTTTTAATTATCTCTTTTTTTAGGCAGCAAGAATTCTTTAGATTGTACACTTATCCTGACTGAGGGAGATTCAGCCAAAACACTGGCTGTCTCTGGTCTAGGAGTGGTTGGTAGAGACAAATATGGAGTATTTCCCCTTCGTGGGAAAATACTCAACGTCAGAGAAGCTTCTCATAAGCAGGTTAGTTGGAAAATTGTTATAGTCCTCATGTTAGAAGGTGCAGTGTGCTTTGTGTGATGCAGTGTTTTCACTGAGTTAGTGCGGCTGAACATCTGAAACACCTGAGTCTAGCCTCATCTTCAGCCTGCCTGGAAAATAACTTCCCTGTTGCCCTAAGTGGGAATATTGATTAAGTTCTGTTTAGTGTTTGCCTGAGGGAATAATGTTTGTGTTGTGGATTAGAAAACGTTTGGAATGATCTAGAATAACTGAAGCATTAGTCTTCAGTTCAGAAATGATAAGTTCTTAAACAGCAAAAAAAACACTTAGTAGACAAAGCTCAATCAATGGTATGCTTATGGATAATTTTAGACCTTTTCACCTACATTTTAAGTCTGAAATACAAGTTTTCATTCTGTGTGATCTTTTCCAGATTATGGAAAATGCTGAAATCAACAACATCATCAAGATTGTGGGTTTACAATATAAAAAGAACTATGAAGATCAAGAATCTTTAAAGAGTCTTCGCTATGGAAAGATTATGATTATGACAGATCAGGTCAGGTTGACTAAAGTTGAAAACTGGGAGAGGAAAAAAACATCCAACACTCACATAGAGAGGAAAGAAGAAATTCCTACCTTTCTCCCAGTGTCATTGGTGTACCTAATTCTCTGTATTTTTTTTCTTTTTATCATTCTATATTTTAGTGGGTCATAATGTCTTTTCAGCCACAAAACAAAACAGATAAAGTAGAGGGGAGAGTAACATCACCAAATAGCTAAATACTCTTTCCAGTCTGCTGATTCAAGGTCCTTGACCAGTCCTTGATGCCTTTTATTCACCAAAAATGTGCCTTTTCTGTTCCTCTTAATTTTCAGTAGTTAAACAATGCATGGTCACCTTTTTAGAAATGAAAGTTAATAGGGTCAGTTAGTTGGAACTCTAGAATAATTTGCTATTAAGCTAACAATTGGCAATTCCATCATGTCCCTGATTAAATATGTCTTTTTCTTTTTTTTTAATTCTTTTTAATTCAGGATCAAGATGGATCACATATCAAAGGTTTGCTGATTAACTTCATCCATCACAACTGGCCGTCTCTTCTAAAACACAACTTTCTGGAGGAATTTATTACTCCCATCATAAAGGTAAGTGGTGGGGAGATGGCAAAGTGAATGAGTAAGGCTTCGTTGGTCCAAATCTGCCTCTCATTTCACAGTTAAAATATCTGTTCATTGCAGGCCTCTAAAAACAAAGAAGAAATTGCATTCTACAGCATTCCTGAATTTGAAGAATGGAAAAGCCATATGCAGAACTACAATTCATGGAAAATCAAGTACTACAAAGGTTTGTAGAAAGCTTAATATGGTGAAATGAAATGATCCAAGTAAGAGCATTGGTGATTAAATTCAGTTAGCCCTGCTTTTGCAAAAAGGGTTTGGAATGGGTGACCTCCAAGTCACTTCCCTCTGATATTCTGAATATTCTGATTACAAACATATGCAGCATAAAATATAAAAGTGAGGAAACAATAACCTCTAACTGGATAAAATCTCAGTAAAAGATCTCAAAACAGAACTACAATATTGTAGGCAATTCTGCTCAGTTTTATGTGCTGTTTTCCATAGCAGAGTCCTGGGGTGCTGTTAGCACTGTAAGCTCAGTACTCGCTCCAGAACTGCGTAATACCAATAAGAAAGTTGCCAACTGCGGAGCAGTGGCTGGATAATGAGGAATCATTTCCAATTTGCAGTTAATCATTTCAGATATCTACAGGAGTTCCAGACAAAATCCAAAAGTACAACATGCAACTGCTCACTTGACTATAATTCTTGCGATTTTTGTGATACCTTGCATCTTATTTAAAAGTAACATCAGTTTTCAGGAAGTCATTGTCATGCTGCACATCTATGTGATGCACCACAGAAACTAGGCATAGCAAAATATTTGTTTGAACTGCAACTTAATTTAGGCAAGAACTTAGTAGGATTAACTGGTGCCGTCTCTGCAGGTTTGGGTACTAGCACATCGAAGGAGGCTAAAGAATACTTTGCAGATATGGCCAAACATCGAATTGGCTTCAAATATTCTGGTCCTGAAGATGATGCTGCGATCACCCTGGTAACTAACACTTGATTTAATTGCTGACTTATTACCTTTGGTATTCTACTGCTTAGAGTGCTGTGTATTTTCTCTTAAAATGCTCTTAGAGGCCTTTGGGCTTGAGAAAATCTCTTAGTTACCAAGGCTACGGCTTTAGTCTAAGCAAATCTGGCCACAGACCTCAGGCCAAGAGTACCCTTTTAATGATGGGTTTTAAATATAGCTCAGAACAAACTAATCACCACAAACCAATTGACATTTTCAGACATAATAGTAAATATTCCTTTAACTTTTTTCTGCATGTTCTGCTGCAATTTTCTCCAAGTCAGACCTCCCCTTTCTCCCTCAGATTTTCTTGCAAAAGGTTTCATCAGTGGATTGAAACAGTTCTGTGAACTTTCCCTTCAGTAGACATTGACTCTCAAGTGTTCTGAGCTATTAGTCAATGCCAAAACAAGTTTTTCCCCAAAATATTGAGAATTCTCTTTTAGTTTTCCATTATTGTGTTAAAAATCCATACATTAAACCTAACTACCGAGTCTCCTGAAGACTGGCGGAAATTATGCTCTTTATGTATTTAGCTACAAGAACCTTTTCTTGCACCACTTGGGCTTTTAAGCAAGCCTGTTTAGCATGTTATTTTCCTGGGTAAACTCTTCCTGTATACTTTCGTCTTCTGAAGGGATCCAATAGGGCACACCACGGAACGTTCTAGAATTCAGTTATTGTTCCTTCTGTGATCACCACGGAACGTTCTAGGATTCAGTTACTGTTTGTTCTGTGATCACCAAGGAACGTTCTAGGATTCAGTTATTGTTTGTTCTGTGATCACCAAGGAACGTTCTAGGATTCAGTTACTGTTTGTTCTGTGATCACCAAGGAACGTTCTAGGATTCAGTTATTGTTTGTTCTGTGATCACCAAGGAACGTTCTAGGATTCAGTTGCTGTTTGTTCTGTGATCACCAAGGAACGTTCTAGGATTCAGTTACTGTTTGTTCTGTGATCACCAAGGAACGTTCTAGGATTCAGTTACTCTCCATTTTGTGACATGCAGGCCTTCAGCAAGAAGAAAGTAGAAGAGCGAAAGGAGTGGCTGACTAGTTTCATGGAGGATAGAAGACAACGAAAGCTGCATGGTCTGCCAGAGGTAAAAGGTTTATGTGTAGATGGAAACTGGTTTCCTCTCTCTCCCTGGGGCTGGTTTCAGCTTCAGAACCACAGAACGTTAGGGATTGGAAGGG